TGTTGATGCTCAGTTTACGCACCAACGAATTCTCACGTGACTAACGCTGATTGGCTGTTAAATACACGTGAAAATGGAGTATAGAAAGCGAAATAAATGCAAAGGGAGTTTTTTAAGTGGTTCGGATGCTAAGGTAGCATGTCCTACGTCCACTGATTTGTATTGATATGAGTGTGGGTCAGGTCGCAACTGCGGGCTGACTTACATAAGTTGAAATAATAAAAATGTTTTCAGGAGAGAGAGATTTCTTTGTATGAAAAATGACCGAATCCCCTTAATGAAGGGGTCTTCTTCATTTTATATATCAAACTGAAGCGTGTAATCATCATTAAATCCATGGTTTGGTGTGATTGTCAGGACATAATCCGGCTTTATGTCCCATTTTCCCTTTCCCAAGCTGACTTCGCACGACTTATTGCAGGGAAATGGACGCGTGTGGGCTCCATACCATTTGGCAGGTCTGACGTGTGAGTGTTGCTCTGACGGGAGCAGGTCACCCCCCACGTGACTTTCCCATGTCAACCTTTCATTTTCCCGGGCATAACAGAAGCCCCCTAGTTTTTAAGGTTCGAGGATCGGACCTTGGAAACTAAGTCACATCGGAGTTTTTGGTCGCTCCGACCTGAACGGGATGAGCTCGGTACAGGACACTTGGCGACCACGATCTCGCGCAATTCCTTGCCAGAGCGACCTGACAATCTTCATCTTAGCGACCTGGATCTGAGGGACGCTCCTCTGTACCTTTGAGATTCGATGAACCTGGTTTTACGCTGTCAGGAGCTCTGCACGCGTTAAAGCGTGTCAGGCACATTAAATGCATCGTGTGCTGAGCTGACGCCGTTTGACAGCATTAGTTGCGCAGCGCGTTCGAAACGACGACCATTATCGCGTCATTTAATGCGACGTGGGGCGTATCTAATGCGGGGAGAGAGAGAGTGGGTTGTCGTTTCAGTTCCAAGGGGTGGTAACCGTCGATTCGCAATCCATATATAAAGACTTGCATTTTTCTGATGAAGTCACCGAAATTTCTTTCGCTTCGAGTGTCAAACCTTTACACACCAGGAACAATTTTCTTCCGATCGGCGCTTTTCAGGCAACTGGGACGAGTTTCGGCCTCAGCTTCGCATCCCAGAGAGTAAGGTTTTTCTTTTCCCCTTTTTTTTTTTGCACTGGTTTGGTTGGATAATGGCGTTGGGTCTCCCGGCGTTTCGCCGGAGACGCGACGCCGCCATTGGATTCGAGCCGTGGATGGCGGCTCGAGTCACTTGTAGATTTTAAGATGTCCCCTGCCACTACGCGGGACGAACACGAAGGCCCTAATGACCGTGTCTGTCGATGTTGCAGACTGGAATGGAACCGTCAACATCCAGACCCGAGGAAGGAGCCAGCTCGTCCTCGCGGGAAGTCCCCGAGGACGCAGCCCTCGATGTCTACTCGGTTCTCACCTCCGAGGAATATAATAGAATAAAGATGCAGTTTGATATTCGCGCGGAGGTGTTCCTCGACCACACCAGATCGTCACGGCGCCCTGCCAATGGCCTTGCCGCGATCTCTGAAGAGATCTTCAAGGGTGGAGGGAGGATTCCCTTCCATCCTTTCATCAGGTCGGTCCTGGATCATTTCGGGATCGCACCAATGCAGTTGACGCCAAACGCGTATGTCATCGCTGTCGCGATGTACATCGCGTGCTGCGAGAGCGGCTTGGGAGAGCCAACGGCGGTGGAGCTCGGCGTCGCCTACTACCTTAAGAAGAGTAGGGACAAGGACTCGTACTATTTACTCGGCGACCTACCATTGCCGCGGGGATACACAGCTATCCTAGCAATGCGGGGGCCTACGAGACAAAGTTCTTCTTTTTCTTTTACTACGGCTACTGCCGTTTTCAAAATCCAAGTAGGTTTTCTCTCGCTGGGTTCATTATTTGCTCGCCTGATCCATAATAACGACCTGCTTTGTTTTGCAGTTAATAGAACGACCGAGCAGGCACTACTCGCTGACCCAGACAGGCTTGTATCCTTCGGAGTACTGGACGAGGATAGTCGCGACGCGAGGAAGCTTGTGACAACCGCGAACTTGCGGAAGTACGGTTTTTTCAGCGACAAGGCGTCGTTAGAACCCCCAGAAGGTAAGTTATATCGGTCCCTTTCTGGTCGTAGAATAAGTTTGCTTACTAACGAACTTAAATGCAGAAACGATGCCCCCAAAGGAGTCCGGACAGCCACGCCGAGCACCATTCGTCTTCCCTCGATCGAGGAGTGAGAGGACGGCTGAAGCTGCTCGTCCTGTCCCGGCACAGCCGGTGCAAACAGTCCCGGCTTCCCAGCCCCGTCCTGTGCAAGGAGCGACCAGGACGGAACAGGCCGCTCAGGCGCCCACTGCCCGCTTAAAGCGGAAGGCTCCGGCCCAGAGGTCGAAGAAGAGGAAGCAGATTCAACCCGAGGAGTCGGAGACTGAATCTGAGGGAGAGCCTCTGAGGTCGCGCCAGGGATCCCGGAGGTCGGGCAAGGAGCCCGCGAGCGAGGCGGTTACCGGTGATAGGGCGAAGGACGCGCCTGTTCTAGACTCATTGGGGAGTCTGCCCGAGTACCTGCAGCCGATTGTCTATGGCCTGCTCGAGAGCGAGCTATCGGAGTCTTACGACGAGTTCGCCGACACGGGCGACGACCTGATGACCAGGTCGTTCCAGCATCTGAGCAAGGTAAATGAGCTGTATTTAAAACTTCATTCTGATTTATTTCTAACTCATCGTGCTCGCAGGGGTTGCTTGCGATGAGGATGGCCATGGAAAACACGCGGTTGGGGGAAGCAAAGGGGAGAAGCGACCTGGAGGAGGAGGTCGCGAAGCTAAAACAGAGCTTGGAGTCCGTTGAAGCTGAGCGAACACAAGCGTTCGAAGCGGCAAACAGGTATCTGAACCAAAAAGATGCTGCTTTACGATCGGTGGATTTCCAAAAGGCGGAACTCGACCGACGTGCGGAGGAGATTAAAGAACTCCAAAGGACAACCGCCCGGCTCTCCAAGGAGGTCGGAGAAAAGGACCAGGAGATGCGGGCGACCTTCGAACGGGCTCAGCGGGCTGAACAAGACAATCAGGCCTCCGAACAAGAAAGGCTAGCTCTTGAGGCCGAGCTCCAGGAGAGTCGGGAGAGAATCGCTTCTCTGACTGTAGAAATGCAAAATCAGTCTGAGGAGATGGAGGAGAAGGCCGCGGACTGGGCAGTCGGGTCCATCTACACCCTGCGAGCGAGGAACCCGAATTTGGACACGTCCGACCTCCCGGAGGTTTGGCAGGCGACCTTGCGGATCATGGCCGAGGAGGACGACCAGGCCGCCGCGGCCGCCCAAGGACCCGATCAGGCAGGTGGTTCCGGCTCGAAGGATGCCCCCGACCAGCCTTAGTGTAATGAATTGCCCCCATTGTAATCGAGTCGACTTTTTGTACATAAATGAAGACATATTTTCTTTACAATTGCATTTCGTTTTCTCATAAATATGCACTATTTACAATTGTGACTTACATAAGCGATTACATATATTCTTACACGCGAATAGAACACATGCGAACTGTTTTTAAGCGAACAGAGTAATATTTTAAAAAGGGAATTAACAAACTGAGAGCTGAGTTCGGGATTACTGATAGTATGGTCGGAGGTGCTCGACATTCCAAGCTCGGGGTACCTTGGAGCCGTTCAATCTTTTGAGATGGTAGGTCCCCGGTCTGATCACTTTGTCGACNACGAGGAAAAAAACTGCTATTGAACTCGATGTGAGACGAACAAAATGTGAAAAATAACTATATTTTGGTGGTCATGTGATTCGATAAGAACCCTTAAGTGTATTACTCAAGAAGTTCTGACTTTAAATTTTTTTTCGGTTGCTAATAGAAGTAGTAATTAGAACTCTTATCCAGTTAGTAGTTTTAGACAATGTTTTAAAACCCAACCCGAGATGAAACCTGGCAAAGTTTCCAGGTCCCGATTGACAAAAAATTTTAAAACTCAATAAATACACCCCTGAATATTACCTGCAAGTCCCTATATGTTTAAACTTTATCAAACACACCCCAAATGAAAACCAACCGACAACTGATCGGCAACGGCGACACCCCAGATGCAACCCCAATCGTCTCCTGAGCCCATTTTCATTAAAATCTACCCAAGATCTAGCCGTAATAGGTTTGATTTCGGCTAGATCTCACCGACACCGACATAGGTATTCTAGGCCAGATCTCATCCACGCCGACGCCGACAAACCTCCCCATCACCCAGGAATTACTCATCTGTTCCTCCTGACCAAAACCCACCTTACCCCACCCCCGTTAGCCTCACCAATCACAGGAAAAATCTCATTGTTGCCGCTGCCACGTTTGTTTGATTTCCGATCGATTTATTCATCGGAAATCAACGCCGTCACCACTATTGCATTCATTGAAACTTAGTCTTCAAAAGCCCTAACCTTCTGGCCATCGATTGTTCGCTGATCATCCTCCCAAATTTTAGGGTTTTGGGGTAAATCAGAAAAGTTAAACCTGACCTGTTGAAGCTGTTGGGTCCTGGTTAAACCGGTTCAACTGGCCGGGCCGGGCTGGGTTTTAAAACAATGGTTTTAGAGTCCTGGGAGATTATGTGAGGTATGTGTAAGCTGGCTCGGATACCCTCGGTCATAAAAAAGAAATTTGAAAAAAAAAGTAATAAATATTTAATTAACTATTTTATAAGAAGCAATTAATTATTTACTAAAATAAACAAAAATATTTACTGAAACAGCGCCACTAGTTCTTGTTTAAAATAACTATTAAGAGGATAACACATCGGGGATGTAGCTCAAATGGTAGAGCGCTCGCTTTGCATGCGAGAGGTACAGGGTTCGATCCCCTGCATCTCCATCAATTTATATTCATTGAATCATTTTTGAATTTTGATCAATTTCGAACCAACTAGGAGCATCGACCTTAAAACATAACTCTGCATTAAAACCGAACCGAGCGCTCTGAGTGAGGTTGAGCAGAAAGGGAGGCATGGTTCTTGCTCAGAATATCCTGCGTACTGCTTGCAGCCGCAGATCATATGTGTTCCCAAAACGCCTCTCTTATTGTTATTGTTATTTGAAGCATCCTCCTAATCCTATTACTATACAAAACCTCCAAATCCCTTCCTCTTTTTCTTCTCTTAAACCCACTCCTACCTCCTTTATTCCTATTCGCTTCCTTATCACCACCGCTTCTACTTTAAGTCAAGACCACCACGACCAACACCCAGTTCACTGTAAATCTTTTTTTTTTCTTTTTTCTATTATTTCATTTATTTATTTGTTTAATGTTTGCTCATTGTGGATTCTTATTCACCTTAATGCATGCTTCTGTAAACATGTTTTCCAGATGTTTGATTAATGTCCTATTCCATGGCCTTGCTTTCATTAAGTACTAATGAAAATCTCTTTCCCTAAAACTATTCTTCTTTCTTAATTCTCTGCTTTTACCATCTTCCTTCCGACCTTTTGTTGCAGCTATTTGTTTATCTCATGTTTAGCAAAATGCTACTACTTATTGTTTCTTTCTTTCTTTCTTTCTTTTTTTTTTTCATTTGAAATATCAAATATGAAATATAGAAAGAAGAACCTGGCCCTTTGAAAATTGTCCTATTCCTTATTATCAAGTTACTCATTCACATTTTTATTTAAGAGTCTGGATTTTAGGATTACTGGTTGTTTCTAAATGTTGCTTTTTCTACCCTCTTTATTTGAGGGGAAACTAGTAGTTTTTTGTTACGGTGTCGGTCGAAAACTATGTTGCTGTCGTTTCTGATGTATGCAATGCTTTGCAGATGAAGAAGAAACTGAAGAGGGAGAAACCACAGATGGGTGGGAAGAGGAGGATGAGGCCGAGCCTGAGGTGCTATGTTTTGGCTTGGACATTCTTGTTATTTGGATTTTGCTTAAGCTATAAGATTTCAATTGTAATTTTGTTTTCAATAATGCAGCTTGGTGATGGAGGGGATGGGGGTGGAGTGGTGTTGCAAGGTGTCTCTTGGGGTGAACGGGCTCTATCTATTGCCCATGAGGTCTTGTTGCTGTTTGGCAATGACATTAAACTCTATGCTTTCAAGACTACTCCTCGTGGATATGTCTATGTGAGACTCGACAAACTGTCACACAAGTAAGGCTCTCCATAGTTATAACCTATCAAACTTGTTAATGGTGAAGAAACCCGAAGATTTCTGAAGTTGAGTACTAGGTGCCAATTCAATAACGACTCCTGCTGGAGTATAGACCATAGTCAAACTCAGAACCTTAATCAAACAATTTAGTTTTAGAAATTTTGAAGTTCAATATTAAGCACACTCTAAATTGGATTCAGCAGCAAATAAATAGTGACATAGTTAAAATTATTAGGTAGAATATACTCTTGTACACTTTCAAACTTTCGTACCTCATTATGAGCAAAATGTGGTCCATTTTGGTCCAGATAAAACCCTGAGATCAAACACAATGTTTGTTCTATTTCTTGACCAAATTTCTAATTCTGTGTCAAATTATGTTGTTTTATGGCTTTAATAATGTTGACTTGTACTTGTGTGTAGAGTACTTATACTCATTTCATGATGCATATATTTTCGTTCGTATGTATATATTGATCAGTTGTTTCACTGACATGGCTTTGATTAGATATGGGTGTCCTAGCATTGAGGAGCTTCAAAACTATAGTCAAGAATACAAGAAAAAACTAGATGAGGTTGGAGCTCAAGGAGAAATACCTGATGATTTGGCCCTTGAGGTAACAAAATGAATGGTACCTTTGCTTCTTTATGGTTGCTCAATTTTAGCTCAGTGAGAATGCAGTAATACATTCTGTAATGCCTCGAAGATATATCTCTAAAAAAAAAAGGTTTTGTTTTTTCTAAGGTATCAACTCCAAGTGCAGAGCGGATTCTTAAAGTACCTGATGATTTGAGTCGTTTTAAGGACTTACCAGTGACAGTGTGCTATGAAGATGCGGAGTCTGATTGCACAGAAAAGGATGGAGTCTTCCTGTTGGAGAACATAGAAATGGATTCAGAGAGTTGTGTTTGGAAGTTGGCTGATGTAAAGGAAAACAGGGATCCTCAAAGTAAAGGTAGACCGCTAAGCTGTAAACGGAAGGATTGGAGATTGAAGTTGCCTTTTAAGGAGCATAAAAAGGTGACTCTGTACCTTGAATGCTGAAGAATCATCAATGAGTTTGTATCATAGGAACTATGCTCTTTTTACTTGAAAAGGTTGAGTATGAATGTAAGTCTTTAGTGGCATTAACGGTGTGCATACCGTTCAAATATTAACAGTCAGAATAACATGAGATCTTAACTTGTTTTTGGTATGGTTTCAGAAGAATTGACAATGAAATGTTTTGTGTTGAGAGAATGAAGTCTCTCTTTTCATGTCGTTATACAGGTGTAGAACATCTGGGTTTGCTCAGCACAAGTGCATAGCTGCACAAGTGAATATTAGAACAATAGATTCAAAGAATGCTTGTTAGATCTTTTTGTGAGGCTTGTTTTCTGATTTTATGGTGTCCATTATTTCTGCTACCCAAATTAGTTTTGATACGTGAAAATACGATAATTCTATAACCAAACTCTCATATAATTGTAACACGAATTTTTAACTTTTGAATCAATCTTATGTAATAAACTTAGGAGGAAAGTTAGAGTTGTTTTTTTAATTTATTTTTTATGTAAATTAAATAATCTTTAAGTCGTTAGATTATAATGAATCAAATGATCAAGAATTTGTCAAAATTTTGTATTACAATAACTTTTATTCTCTAGTATGCAAAATTTCCCTCATTGTAACGTAATATAATGATGAAATTTGTGTGTTTTATTGATGTGGGTCCTGTGGGATATTTTTTTAATAGTTATTGGAATTAAAATATAAAATATATGCATTCTGTAGGATTTTAAAGTACATAAAATTATAATAAATACATTCCATTTATATTTTTAATTATAATTTTGAATAATATTAAATGTATGAAGTTAGGTAGACAGACACCAAGCAAGAAATATTCCAGAATCTGTTTATATAAATGAAAAAGTAGAAGTAGAAAAAGCTATTTTCTTATGTTTTATGATGGTAATGGTACGTAACGTATCCACTCTTCTATTGTAACGTTAACGTGTATGGATATTAAACGGATGGAATTGGTCATCATCAAAAAAATTTTATTGATTGAAAGAGTTATCTTATCGTTATATAAAATACTCCCTTGGCTTTGAATAATCACTTCATGGTAAGTGCTACGTTCTGCGGTAACCTCTCCCTCTTTGGAATTCGTTTATCTAACATTATGTTTTATTATTTTGTCTTTTAATGTCTGCCATTATGAATATTAGAATTTCATTTGTTTATTTTCCGCGTCCTTGTATGATACTAGTTTTTAGATGTATGAATAAGATTACTCAAATTTTGTTTGTAGCTCTTCTTCACTTTCACTAAAAAAATGCTTCTTCTGTATCTTGCTTTGTTTTAATTATTTGTGTATAGAAATCCAAGCTTTTTATCTTGTAAAAGTAATATTGCATAGATGAACTTTACATTTAAACTAAACTATTTTTTTTTTAAATTGATGGGAATGGGATAAACATACATGTTTAGCATATTATCTTTTTTAATTTAAAATCATCGAGTCATAATAAAACACATTAGTATGTGCCTTCATCCCTTCTCTAGTCATATTCATCATCTTTTTGGGTAATTTAACCAACCATAACACACTGCTTCAGTAGTTTTAAGTTTTAACTGCCAAAACACATTGCATTTAGTAAATGTAAATGTCTCTTTTTGAGTAATTCAATTCAGATACAACTATACTTTGAGAGAAGGAGAGTTACAATAAATGTAGCTATGACATTTCGTGATTGTTCAATACAGATTCTTCTGTCCAACTTCCAAAAAATAAAGAAATAGAGAAACCAAAAGAGACGCCAAAAAATTGGATGAATGAATTGCTACAAACGCGTTGACAAATAAATAAAATAAAATGAATTGCGGCAGCTTTAGCTTTAGCTTTGTGTTGTGCAGCAAACCTCCTTTCTAATCTACAGCTTCAGTTGTTGAAATGATCTCTGCCAAGACCCTGGGGCCCCGGCATGTGCTCACACACATGGTGATGGTGAAGCAGTCAAGAGACTCCTGCTCTGGCAATAATAACCAGCAAATAACGCCATTATTGCCTACAGTTAATACTCCATACTTTCTGGACGATTACCAGAGCCAAAAAAGTATACATGTTGTATGGTGAGATCTCCTGCTGCCAATCAATCATTTTTTCACAAAAGGTTTTTGACAAACAAGTAGTCGCTGGTCACTGCCATTCTGCAGGTCGATCACCCTTGCTTCCCAGCGTATCTGTGTAGCAAGTGAGCGTGCCATTTCTATAGCTCCCAACTTATCAGAAATAACTACCCATCCCTACAAACCGAAATTTCACACGTGGCATAAAATCAGAGAATGACAGTGTGGGGATGATCTAATGAGATACTAAAGGATGCAGCACAAAACTTTCTACGTAAAACAGGATATTTTGAGACTTCTCTTTAGAAAAGATAAAACAGAAAAAGAAGGGGAAGGGCATTGTTGCTTAGATTTTTAAACAAGACCAAAAGTCAGGAACAAGGGGCAACAAGGACGCTACTTCTTGAAGAAAGTAAAATAACTATTGGGGTAGAAAACAAAGAAAGGTATTAGATGCAGTTTTCCTTACAAAATTTGTGAGTAAACAACTTTTAGGACACGGCACAAATTTTCATTCATAAGCAAAAAAGATTACCTCAGGGCGTAGTATCCGATCCATCTCCAAAAGCAAGTCCATCGTATCACATCTTTCTGAAGAAACTTTTTCAGAGAGGTGGGAGAGGAGCCCATTTGCATGAATCATGTCATATGTTCGGGGGTATGTTGGGAAGGGTTCACACCTGTCCACCAACAGATGATTAAATCAGTTGATCTTTTTGCTGAATCAAACAGAGCCAATCTATGATATCCTAGCTCAAAGTGAAATAAGCTTTCTCGTAACCTGAATTCTTGAATTTTGACTCAAACTATGCCTATACACTTTATTAGGGTCCTTGGAAATTGCATCCCACCCACTGACTTGAGACCAGTACATCAAAGAAAGTATCAAAAATTATTTTCATCAGCCATATACCAGTCAGATTGTGTTTATTTCTTCAAGTCCCTTTTCTACGAGGATTTTTTTCCTAAAAAATCAGTTTTTTCCTCTATTCTTATCAGTTGAAAGAATAAATTAAAAGATGAAGTCACCATTAAAAAAAAAAAAAAAAAACTGTAGGCAATATATTCTGAGCATTATTCAAAATTAAAATATTATTTTCAAACAGAGCATACCATTTAATTTAAAACATAAATAAAAAAACAAAAAACTGACTCATGAAGAACCTGAAAAATCATTTGAATTAAAAGCAAGATTATAAACATCGAAAGTTACAAACTGAACTTACCAATCGTGCAAAACACCAGCAAAACCTCTATCAAGTATGAGAGAAAGTGTATCTCGAGCTGTGACAGGCACAACATTCATCACCCACACAGATTTTTTCTCCTCCTGAAATGCAGCATTTAAACCTCCATATTGAGCATTCATGTCCATTACATTGCGGATCATGTTAAATGGAGGTAATGGATCTTCATCACCAGGCCTCTTAGGATGGTCAGAGAAAATCAAGGGAGTAAGCAAAGACCAATAATTTTTCAGAGCCATCCTCCAGACCTGTAAGTCTTCACTGAAATCTTCAGGCTTAACTCCTGCAAGGATGAAAGATGTAAACTAAGAATTAATGTACAAGCTGCAACAAAATTTAGGTGGAAAAATCATCCTGAAACAATACTTTCCATGAACTTCAAGCTCAGCTGAGCTCAACTGGGAACCAGCAGATCTCTTCTGAATGGAAATCCAGCGCTTGCTGGTTGTCCCACTAATACATGGCACGAGGGGCTGATAGTATTTTACAGCATCAGGTCCTTCTTGGCAAAGTGGTATAGCCTGCTTTCTAAATCCAATAACAAATAGAAAACAATTACTATAATTCTCCCCATAAAGCCGTAAGTTTAGAGGAAAGAAATGTGCAAAGCTCTCTACATACAGCCAGTTCAAGATAACAAGGTATATGGAAAGTTACTCAAGAACCTATCCAACAGTGAAACTAAAACTGAGATAATAATGGAAAAGTCCTAATTATTTTTGCTATCTCACCTAGATAAATGGCAATGAGAATCCACAGTCTTCTGCCAAATGAATGTCTCATCTTGCTGGGCCATCAGAGTCCAGCAGATTTTTTCGGCGAATTCTTGCATCGGTTTTAGCATGCCCCTCTTCTTCATACTCAGTGAACTTCCACGTGGCTTGGTTGCAGGCGAGGTTAAAACGAAGTAACCTCCAGGCTTAAGTAATCGATCCACTTCTATAAGGAACATTCCATCTGTTTTGAGCAGAAGAGTTAAAAGCAGAACAATGAGATTCAATAGAAGCAAAAAGTATTAACCCTCCACACCCATACAACATAAAAAATTATAAAAGAAGAAAAACCCACGACTAAGTTTATTAAATACATAGACATTATAACAAGAAGTTAAGCTCTGAAATTCCATCCATGCATTCAGTAGACTTTCCGGTAAATCTCCTAGATTATTTGGATATTCTTGTGAAGTAAACAAATTCAGTAATTCATAGAGGTCAGACATAAGTTCTAACATTCAAAATATTATGCCACACATGATGGGCCAATATATATCCGTCTGATGACCTATGATAAGTAAACAGTAAGTTACCAGGCTGCAATCTGCATGTCCAGCATCAATTGCATTACTGGAACATTTTCATGAAGGTAAAACCTTTTTGTACAATGGTCCAATAGCACCAATAGTGGAGCTAAACCAGAACGCACATAATAAATTATTATCAAGAACGGAAAAGGGAAACAATCAAGTCATTGATTTCCTACAATTAAACTCTGCTATTGGATCACCCAAAAGGAAGCACGTCAACAAATAGTAGAAAACATGAGTCATCGAAAAGCTCAAGATTTACCTTTTTGGTCCCAATTGATACCGCACTGAGCACAATGAACCATGTCAAATGACAATGATGGATATGGAAGTTGTCTTGAGATGAAATTCCCAATCATAGCTGGAAGACCTCTCTCAAGGGCCAATTGGACTTGACTGCCAGTGGCTTCATATGCCGCAACACAAATAGCCATTAGCTTCAGTGACACTAAATGAGCTGCAAAGCTTCCAAATCCACAACCAATATCGAGTATGGTGTGAACCTGCAGTTGACATATAAGGCTTAAAGCTAAGATGCAACAGATAATTCTATTCGCCTTTCAAAACAGAAAAAGAGGCAAACCATACTCCAACTTTGTTATGGTTAGACTTAAAAAAACAACAAAGTATCTATTCAAAAAATTCAAACTCTTTCAAATTTAATTTTGTCCAATATAGAAAGAATTATTCCATAATAACCATGATGTACAAAGAAAACTTACACCAGCTTGACCAAATTCGGAGTCACTTCCCAACCCTATCATCTCAGCGACTTGGCGAGAGTAATCTTTGACACCATCAAAAATCAATCCATCCTCGGAATGAAATGCGATTTGATTCTCTTCCAGTAACATCAATCTGGAAAGATTATCAAAATTTATAAATGCAATCATCATAACTTAAAAAACCAAGAAATAGAAAAATTAATAACATAATGATAAAAGCAAATAGCAATGGTTTGTGGACAGTTTGAGCAAATCATGGAGCTAAAGGAGGTAGATTTAATGCTTATGACCACCACAGAATCACGTCTAGCATTAATTAAATAGTACCTTTTCGTCATACTTCCAGACGAAAGAAATTGGTCTTTTGTAATTTTCACATTTCCGCTCCATATCACATCCCTGCCAGCGGGCCACCTTAAGGGGATCTTATAATCCTTTGGAGGGCGTACCAAGCACCGCTCTCCTAGTCTAGAAATTTCACAATGCCGATCAAACTCCTCCCCATCTAGAAATCCAGCCAACAAATTTGCTGACACATTGTAACATGGTACAAAATTTTCTCTCTCTTTGCCACAAAGGTCATACTCCTTTGGCCGACTCACACCCAAAGAGAGAGTTCTCAGCTCCAAGTAATCAACTGCAGCTTGCTCCTTTAGCCTTCGATAGTTTGTATAAATATCAGGTTTTTGGATTGAAGTTAAAGAGTCAAAGGTATTTGAAGATGATGATCCTAAGACGGCAACAAGTGCAACAATACTAATAAGGCATAATAACAACCAACTGACCGGCGGTCTAGGCCCAAAAATGACAGAAAGTTTATTGAACCAGGAGCTTCTCATGTCCAAATTTTGCTACACTCTTTAACAATTTGAGTTTCAAAGTGCACTAAAATAATCAATCCCTTTCACATAAATCTCCAAGAACAACCAATACCACAACATGTCATAAAATATAAGCTTCTAGATACGTTTCCATTAGTCCGTACAACACCTATTTTCTCCACAACACTTTTCTTCCAATAACAAAAACAGATGTTTCTCACGTGATTGTAGCATCACACTCACATTACTAAAAACCGAGAAAATTAGATCACGACAACCAAGTTTCAATCCGAATTATGGATCAACAATTCACACAACTACACAATGTAGAAGAACTAAAAGTCCAAATCAAACCCAAAAAAGAAATGTTGAATTCTCCCGAAACGTAACGCTTGATTGTTAAAAAAAAAATAGTATTGCCAATTGTAGAAAAATAACTAGTCTCCAGCAGCACGTAGCCAACAAACCACCAGATCAACCTGCAATAACAAAAAAAGTCAAAGATCCACCGAATCAATATCACATATCACGATTTAATTAGATTCCACGAGACTCAATGTGATTCCTACAAAATTCCATTTCCTTTTCGCAACAAAAAGGACGAAAATGCAAAACTTTCCATTTTTAATCAACTAAAACAAACCCAGATCTCAAAAAGGAAACCCAGATACAAATGTCAGATCAAATGCACATGCAAAAATGGAAACAAGATTAGGGTTTGGAGGACATACCAATTAAAGGGTGCTGAAGAATGGAGATTCAAAGCAAAACCAACATAACACAGAGGTATTATTGTTTTAAGAGTCCAGTTTTTATCGGATTCTAGTTTTGGGGTTTGTGTAATTGTTTTGGTTTCAGAGGTCTACACTATTAAAATTGATAGATCTAATCTATAAATAAACAAAAGCTCTAACTTTTAGACAGAACAAACAGGCAAATCATTTTTGCTCTACAACATAACAGGGGGAATAATTGTAATTAATCAACTGGATGTTGTGTAAACTTTTTCCTTTTAGCGGCACAGTATTAAATTTGTTAGTTCTAGCAAATCCGCTACGCAATCCTAAAATTATTCTAAGTCCACGTGGGATGTGCTACGATGACATGTGGTTCAAATCTAGTGGGTAACAGCTCGGTTAAGCCTTGGATTTAGTGTAGATGTTGGAATGGGTGGTTTAGATTTAGCCCTTTGTTTTGGAGGAGTATATGAAGCCCACTATTAGTTGTATTTAACCAGCAGAAACAAGATCCAAATGGAGGCCATTGTTGATTTATGATGAGGCTATCAGAACTGGAGGGGAGCCAACTCTCTCACTCACTTATTGTTGTTTTTTGTTTAAGCAGGTAGAGAATGTCGCATCATGTTAGAGTGGAACATAAGTTTCCTTTTTTTTTTATTATTTTTGGTTATTTAAAGCAGGGGATTTTGTGGGTGATGACTTAACCATCAATTTAATTATTGTTCAGTGGGGTTGGTTTGGTTTGATTGGCTAACTCTAAGCCAATCCGTACAATATAAGGTTTTATTTGGTTCATTATTTAATAATTTTTAGAATAATATTTAAAAAAAAAAAGTAAAATTAGATTATCTTTACAATAAATATAATTATTAATATTTTACAAGATGAATAAAATAAATAAGATTTTAAGAATATTAAAAATAATATATTTTTTGATAAATTTTCTATTTAACTTTATTGAGAAAATCAAAATAGTATTTTAAAGAACCCTAAGAGAATGGCAGCATTCAACAAGTTTTTGGGCAATAACAGGATTTGATTCCATGGCTTTTGCCAGCTTATGGCTCCAGTTCCATAGTAGCGATAATAGTTTTTCAAGTGTCGGTTATCTAGGAGTTAGAGCTAACCCACAAGCTGGTGCTTATATACCTGAAAAGGCCATCCATGATTGGATTTTATCTCTTAACTGTGGACTGATAATTGACAAACACAGGCTTCTCAGAAATTGCTTTATTCACTAATTTTTTAATCCAACTGAATCTACAGAGAGAAGATTTTGAAACGTCAAATCACCAAAAACATGTATTGACAATTTGAAACAATCCAAATAAATTACCATTGAACAAATGTTACAGTGATTCCTTTAGCAAACCACACTGCTTTTCTTTGATACAATAGATACTAAAAACAAAGTAACCTATTTTTAGAACAATAAAAGATTGGCTCACACCTAATTTTTCAAACTTTCTTTTACAGCCTGACATGATAGTTTACAATTGGTCAGTTCGTAATTGAACAAACGAGACCTATGCAAGCTATCACGTTGAAGTTGTGAAAGAAAGTTTGTAAGATTGAATTGTAAGTGTAGTACTACCTTTTTAGAAGGCAAACCTCCACTTTCATTATTTGTTGGTACAACACCATTCGATATTGGACAAAACCTAGAATGGCCCTCACATTTGACTAATCCCAAAGATATTTCAATAGAACAATGATATTTATGCTCATTCAAGCAGTGGTTTCTAGTTCCCTGTTCAAGTAGTCCACAAACATCCTCTTTGCACTGTCAGAATCAGACGGTGGTGGTGGTCCACTCAAACTGGTTTGCCCTGTCAATTTAATGAATGTTCTTCGTAGTCTACGTAGCTCAGGCAGCCCAACTGACCTTGAAATATTGATAGTAGGCAAACTCTGGCCAAGAGATATCCCGTTAAGAGGCCCTCCAAGTGCCTTCGATTGTGCTTCTACAATAGCATTAGTCACTTCTTGTGTTGCTTTATCCAATTCATACAGAGAATTTGCCTCTGAAAATCGTGTATTTTGTGTTGCAATGGTTGGCTGTAAAATCTTAACATGCCGCGTTTTTGAATCCACCTTTTTTGTCAAATAGGAAACAGCATCCAAAATGGCAGCAGAAGATTTCTCAATTCCATCTCTCTGTGGCCATAATTCAAACAAAGGTGAATCCCATCGATTTCTTCTATCAGGTTTCTCAAACCTTCTTACAAGATCTTCAAGTATATTATCATCATATGTGGGTTCTCCTTTCTCCCGTCGTTCCTCATTCCATTTTCTACAATCATTTTCTTCCACATCACAGTAAAGCACACAGTATCTTATTCCAGCACCACGAGCCAAACACCATAGTTCATATCTGTAACCCTTGATACTGTTCAAAGAATCTACAATGATTATATTATCTTTCGACACAGATCTATCAACTTCAGACCGGAGCACTCCGCGTAAATTCTTCTCTGCAGTCATATTGGCATAGCTCTGATTGCGATCAAGATGAAAGGAAGTTTCATCAATTATCCTGACTGTCTCTTTTAACTCTGATCCTTTTAGAGCTTCGGCAAGGCACATTGCAGCCATTGACTTCCCACTACTTGGTTGCCCACAAACTACAACCAATGCCATTCTTGCAAAAATTGACCCTGAGATTCAAGGGAAACACATTGTCAACAATTGTTAGCCTCTGATCAGTTAAATATGTAAACAGTAAAACATAGTTATTTTCAAATCATAAATACAAAATCATAAGAGAAACATAAAGATTTGAAATCGGGAATATTGTATATAACTCTAGCAATGATACCATTTTATAAAGGGTATACAAGACCAGAGTTATAACTCAAGCTTATCAAATCAACTTTCGCTCGGGGCATCTCATTATCTATTTTACAATTTACACTTGCAAATAAAATGACAGTAAGAGAAAAGAAAACACGCAAATAACATGATGTAAAGTTGTAGAAATCATTCATTGCATCCAACAAGCCGCGGAGAAATGGTTCGCAAATTTGATAGGCCATTAACAACGGTAGAATAAAACCTAAAAAATGCCTTCTATGGCATACATCCCCAAATCTTGCTGCCCAGTGGAAAAAAAGGGTAGCCATTCGATATTTCACGCTCTTTGAACAGAGTTAGTTAACATAAGCATCTTATACATTCTTGATCATGCAACAAAAGTACTGAATTAACTCAGAAAATAAGGTTCCCACCCATGACCACATCATGATAAGTTTTATTAAAGAGTTCGATTTGTACAAGAACAATAAGAGCAATCGAATTTGGCAGAAACAAAGAATAAAAATGATATTACAAAAACAACTCAAAACAATCAATAATAATCAAAATCGTATAATATTAGCATGCCAGTGTACCTGAACTTTGCTCTCCAACTGCTCCAACTGCTAATCTGAAAAGTAAAAGTGAGTGAGTAGAGAGATTATGGATCATATACCAACCTCAGTGAGCAATGCGTATTGACAAATTTTTACAATTACTAATTACTCCGGGTTTACGAAGACTTAGGTCTAACATTATCAGTGAAAGTCCCGGGTTCAGTCCCCAGTTCAGAGATTTCACAAACAAACAAAAATCCTATCAAAAGAATATTAAATGAATAGATATTTTAATTTAAAAATAAAAATTGAAAAACCAAAAAGAAAAACCTGTTGAAGCTTGAATCGGCGGTTGCTGGAGCAGCTAGACGGCGAATCCGCCGGAAATCTCGGTGGAGGAACGTCAGAGGTTGGAGACGTCTCGGTGGCGTCCTTTGTCGACAAGGGCTTGGCGGTGAGCTGCGGGGTTAATTTTTGTGTTGCTAGAGTTTTTAGAGTCGGGTTCTTTTGTGGAGTTTTATTAGAGTAGGTCACTTTTAATTTTTAACATTTTACAATATTCTCGGCGGCGTCCTTTGTCGACGAGGGCGTGGCGGTGAGCTGCGGCTTTAATTGTTTGTGTTGCTAATTTGCTATAGTTTTTAGACACGTGTCCTTGTGTGGAGTTTTTATCAGGGTAGGTTATTTTTAATTTTAATTTTTAACATTTTACAATATTTTAAGTTAAAAGTTGTATATTGGTAAATATTATATATAGATTCTAATTGTTTTATATATATATCCTTCTTTTTTAATGAAGAATATTCAATCAACTTATATATATCTTAATTAATCTTACCAACTGTTGACTAGATAAAAACCTCGATAGCTTAGAAAGACTCAAAGTAAAAAACGCTCTTTTATTATTAGGTAACCCAGTGATGGATTACATATTATATATTTGGGTTGGCTTACAATCTAATGACAAATGATAAATGCACTTGTGAAATTTAAGTGTAAAATTACTAGCATGATTAAAATACAGGACATCCATATTCAAAACTTATCTGTATTTATAAGATTTAAAAACAAAAAATACAACTAAACAAATTTATAATAATAATAATGAAACAAACCTACAAGGCGGCAATTCACACCTCATCTGAACTTAATCACAAGTTAACCAAAATTACAACTTTAAGTAGTTGATAATACGCAAGTTCTGAAGGAATCAGTAAGAACATCCTTATTCAAATGATGCCCTGCAACATTGAAAACCAACCAATTTCAGTAGAACAAAAACAAAGCATAAGGAGCTCCAACTGGTTTTTAGAAAAGGTATAGCTGAAAATAGCGCAAAAGTGTTAAGAACATTACCTATGAACACTATCTTATTCATCTGATTCTCTTCTGTTCTCCATTTTCGAGCTGGAACAATCTCGTAAATCTCCCTTACAGCCTGCCAAATGTTCAAGAACAAACAACTTGGTGATGAGACCACATGCAATTAACCAGTTGCTGAGAACAAAGTAGCTTTAACAACAGATAAAAAGCAAAACAGACAAACAAAACGAAGTTGCATACAATGGGAAAAGAAGTATTAATAAAAAGCTGCAATAGACAATTAGAAAATAGAAATTTTATTAAATGCCAGACCCATTCTTTAAAATTTGAGATCTGTACGAAAACTTGTATAAGGGAACTGTCTATCTCAACCTCTCACTTAATGAGTTCACCACCCTTATTTGAGATATGTGATTAACGTTTGGGAGAACAATTGCAATGAAAACACCACAGTGAGTTAGTGACCTACAAATTCATTTCCTCCCCTGTTCTGGAAAACATCAGATAGACAATGAGTCTCAACATTACCTACTCTTTAGTTGGCCCAAGCATCATTTTACAAGATAGAGTAGGATAGAAATGGTTTGAACTCTTGAAAATTTTAAGTTCACAGAAGATGGAAATACTTTCTGTTGTAATTTAAAAATTTTGATTTGAAATATAATAAAAAAATTTAATGGTCTCTCAGCTGAGTTGATAATGGCACAGAGCTAGCATTTGTACATAATTCATGTGCTTGCTATCCCATGTGCGCTGCTACCTCAGGTTTTTAACATTCTCTGAAAAAATTCACTTGAGGGGCAGTTAAGTTACGGAGTATTATGATTATCAGGTTGCAAAAGTAGCTACCCATCCAGGAGAAAACACAAATATCCAAGAAACAGAGGAAAAGAGGGAAGCTAGGGAAGGAGTCAGTAAATGGGGACATAAATGTCAGAGAGAAAAAAAAGAACAGTCTACTCTAAATCCAAAGCTGCATCATAAGTAAACAAAGCAAAAATTGCAAATATTACCTGCAAAGTATGTAGTTGATCGGAGTTTTGAAGATTTAAAACACCTTTGCAACGGTACACATCCATGCCATATTTCTTATCCCAAAGAATCTCCTCAAGCCACAAGCGAACCTATGAATACACAGAATACCAGACATTATCAAAATAAATATGGATTTTACATACAAAATAATACACTATAATAAGGTAGGAATTTTCAATATATTGGAAAAAGAAAAATGAAAAAAGAGAGAATACATATACAATAATGAACAACAAGGTTATACAAGCAACAAGGATGTGATTGTTTGATTCAGATGGAATACATATATTCCAACAATTATTAAGTATACACTCGAGGAAACTGTAATTATTTTTCCAGAGCAGTGAATATAAGAGTACCTACTGAATACTCTTTCCAAACTAGTGAATATAAGAGCAACTAATAACAAATTACAATACTTGGTAGAGCAAGACCAAATTTTCCATAGCTATTTTGGAGATTACCTTATCAAGATCAACAGCCCCTGGTTCACAAATGCACAAAGTTCGCACGTCACTGTCATGAAGATCTGAAGAAGGCACAGATTGGTGCTCTTCCAACAGTGCCTGTAGATGAGTGATGTGCTGAGAGAAAAGACAAATTGCTTTGAGTGACAACAGTTAAAACAAAAGTCGGCACAAGCTGACAAGATGTACCTATAAAATAAAAATAAAAAGTTGTATTACTAACCGTAGCATCATATGCTCGGCAGTTCAATATCTTAGACAAGTCAACTTGACACCGGGCAGAGCGAATAATTTGAGCAAGAGAGTTAATTTCATGTATCTCCTTCTCCAATTTGTCAAGAGCATCTTCGGAAGCCTCTCGAGAAACTAAATCAATCTTGTTAAGAATTATAACATCCTACAAGAAAAATGAATCTTATAAGCCTCTGATATGCTCAACTGACCAATATTAAATTATATCCAATGAAAATAACAAAGTGAAAAACGATCTTCCAGAAAACGAAAGGCTATTTTGCAACTAAATCAGTCATTAAGTAATAATATGAGACTTACTGCAAATGCTATTTGATGAATTGCTTCAGGAAATGAAGATACATCACGATATTTGTTTATCTGGAAAAGCAGGTTTTTGGCATCCACAACCTATTAAGCAAAAACTTATTAATAGAAAGAACTGAGATGAAAACCTGAGGTAACTGAGGGAAGAACATATGTTAAAAAAGAAAAAACAAAACATCAAAAGCTCAATTTTTATGAATCATAAATTACTATGATCCACTCATATACCAAGAAGATAAACAGAAAGTAACATAAAACATGATATGATTGTCTCATACTACAAGAAGGAAGTAGAACAGTAAAGAAATATGCATCATATTAATCAACTCCCAACCCTAAATGGAAGAAAAGCTATTACAGCGATGGAAGTAGATAATTTGATGAAACTTTGGGAAAAACATAGGAAAAGCTCATAAGCTATATCCTTAGTCTCCATCATATGAAATGAGAAACTGGAATGCAGGCAAACATAATATAACAGCTTAACGATTGAATGGTTAAAATAAGTACAATTCAAATGCTAAATCATACAGACAATTTATTAAAATTAGTCAAAGATCGTAATCTTACTTACAGTGATAATAGAATCAAGCCTGACAGCTGATTCCAGTTGATCATCTAACCATAGAATAGATGCCAGAGGAGCAGGGTTCGCTAACCCAGTGGTTTCGAGCAATATATGATCAAGTCTACACACAACAAAAGAACCATTCTTAGATCATTAATTTCCACTAACATATAATTTCTCCATGTGAAATATCAAACTTCCCATAAGCTGATTCCCAAAAAGACTTCAAAAAACAATGTTACCTTTCTTTCATCTGTACAAGTTGCTCCAGTGCTTGAACTAAACTATGCTTAACAGTGCAACAAATGCACCCATTTGCCAATTCAACCCATTCCTCAACAAGTACCCCACCTTCTCCATCATTAATCATCGCCCTTTCCACTCCAATCTCTTCACCAAACTCATTTAATATGACAGCAATTCGTTTTCCATGTTGTGCATTCAAGATATAGTTAACAAGCTGAAATTCATAGCCCCAATTGTCAGTTGAGAAATTTCTTGCAAACTAAAATAAGTTTCTGACCCAATAATAAATTTACATTAAAACCATAGTTCTTTGCATTCGAAAGTTAATCATTGTTCCAATATGCATACGTATCTGCCTCTTCTGTACATTCAACCAATAACTTTCAGTGTTCCCATACATTATGAGTGATCTAATCTTAATCTCTTTAAAATCTTCATCAAGCTTGAAGAGTTTAAACTGTCCTTGTACATGAACTTTGTGGCACATCCCATTTCATCTGACACTACAAATTATATTATTTTAGGGGATATTGAATAATTTCACTAAAGAACAACTTCATAATCTGTAATAATCATTAAACTTCAGCATCTTTTCGTCCCATATTGACACTAACTATAATCCAATATCTGTACCAAAAAAAAAAAAGCACTAGACAGGTATTTGACATAAAGTAGAAATAAAATCAAATTAAGAAAAAAAAATAGAAAAATAAGGGTTTAAGTTACAGTGGATTTTCCAGCTCCAAGAAAGCCAGTGATGACGGTAACGCCCACTGAAACGTCAGCGTTGTTGGAAGAGTAAGAGGGTTCTTCTGCAATTTCGTCAATTTGAACGGCTAGAGGTGGACCTTCTTCTTCGTCCTCCATTTTCATTCCAAAGCCAACTTCTTTCTGTCTTTCTTTTTTACTTTTTTGAAGTCTTAATTATTTCTGAATTTACATGATTGTCCCTGGGTAAGATATCGCTCCACGTCTCTTTCGCCGAGCTCGTGTTCTTCACATAATACAAGATGCGGCGTTTAGTTAAGAAAATGTTAGATCACTGATAATGATGGATTATTAAGAAAATATTAGATTACTGAGAATGATGGATTATTAAAAAGA